CAAAGGAGGTGAAGGGGTGGGGGCAGAAATTGGAGACGCCAGAGCATTGTTAGAAAGCAGGAAAAGATGTGAAAAGAGAAAAACCTTTAGAGAAGAAAAATGTTCTGTCGCTATCCGGATTCGAACCCGGGACCTATTGAAAGAGAGGTGAACACTTTTACCTCTAGGCCACGAGAGCCCCCTGCTAGAGTCTTATTTGGTATTAATTTAGAACTAAAGCGACCTTCACGAATGCACCGCCTTGACCCACAGTAGGCAGCTGTGCGTCTTGTAGCTGCACTGTAGGGGATACTCACGTTTTCACAAGATTCTGCATGCCAATCGAGTCTTCACCTGTCGATACATCATGTTTCCATTTGATACCAGCTTCGACAAATTGAAGAAAATTAATTTACGCGAAGCAATATCAAACTGTACAGTACATGTCACTATTGCAGAATAAATACATGAAGCCTTTATGGCAAACTTAAAAGCAAGTTAAAAATGTTTTTGTAAAATCAGGCTCTAATTTTTCCAATAATCTTTCAAGATTTCTGCTACAAAAGAATTATACATCAACTACCGCACATCGCTTCCTCTGGGTCTATATAATAAATGGATTCTTAGATTGTGAATTCCAACAACAATTTGTTTCATTCAGTTAATGACATTAATCTCATTTCAATAGGCCTATCTGATGAAATATCCTTCTCAGCTGTCTCTTTATCGTTACAAGAACCATTGTGTTTTTTAAACTGTACGTTAAAAGATTACAGTTAAAAGCTTTTTAAAAAATCTGTAATCTCACCATTAGCAGCAATGTTTTGATAGTCTCTGTGGTTGCATCTATTTCTGTCTCTTATGCGCAGATACAAAGAGTCTATGGGCCCGGTGATAACTTCCGTCCAGTTGTTTTTGCCGTGGCCTGAACAAACAAAACAAAAAAACGAACAAAAAAACATAGAACATTCAGCAGTGATTTTTCCTGTTAGGAGACCACGCGGCAGAATAAATTTCAAAAAATTATATTTTATATATTTTATAAAGAGCATTAGCCTACGAGACTAACTTAATACAAACATAATATGTAAATATTATAAAATACATACATATATTTATGATGTACATTAATAATAATAATAATAATAATAATAATAATAATAATAATAATAATAAAAATAATAATAATAATAATAATAATAATAATATGTATATATGTGTGTGTATATATATATACTATCCTAGTACTACCACTACTACTACTAGTATACTAGTATATACTACTATATATATATATATATATATATATAAATATATATATATATATAATATATATTATATATAATACAGACTTCAACATAAGTTAAGGACGCCTTGACAGACAGACCTGATCTTTAAAAAATCCGAAATAAAGACTGCAAGGAATGTTCCAAATTGTCTGCTCTGAAAGTGTTAATGGGGTACCAATGCGCACTTCATAGTTTTCAAAATGGGCAAAACCACCACGTGCAGCACAGAAATCCTCGGGGAATATTAGCCAAATTTGCTGTTTTTTATCGACTTGTGTGCGACACCACGGATGTTTCTCAGTTAAAATGTCTGATGCACGTCATAAACGGACGTTTGGTCTCGAACTGTGGTCACTTTGGTGGCAATAAAAGCCGCCGTTTGAGCAAAATCCAGAATCGTATCAGCATGTCACCAAGACGAAAGCTGAGAGATTTTGATCGTGCCAGAGCTATGGCATGGCTGCAGGATGGAGTTTGAGCCCGAGAAGTTGCCAGAAGGCTTGCAGTGTCACACTCTGTCATTGTCCGCCTGAGGCAGCGCCATGAAGCCACTGGGTCAGTCTAAGAACGTCCACGTGCAGGTCGACCCAAGAAGACTACTCACTACTCAGAGTGTTTGCAAGTGGTCCTTGACTTAGGTTTAAGTCTGTATAAAATATATATATATATATATATATATATATATCAATACACATAAATATATATCTTATATATATATATATATATATATATATATACATGTATATCGTTCATCAGATCCTTCCTTCTTTTCTCGTACCGTTAGACCAAGTGCTTCTTTATTTGGCAACAACAACAACAACAACAACAACAACAACAACAACAACAACAACAACAACAACAACAACAACAACGACCACGACGCCGCCGACGACACTGGGTACTAAACAAAATCAAAAATGTGATAACATATAGTTTTGCTTTTTAATGTGCTAACACACTTAAATTTAGAATCTATAATGTGTACAGAACGCCTAAAGGTTGTTTTTTTTAAATGTATGCCTTATTTGATGAGTGTTATGGTGAATCGCCAAGTGTACTTGGTGATACTGATCTACATTTGTCTTGTGTGAGACTTGAGGCAGAACTGACCTGTTACTGTAGACAACATAGGCCAGTCAATCTCGTTCTCCACCACCAGTATGAGATGCTCAAAAACTTTCTGCATGTTGAAGAAGGAAAGGGGATGGACTGGTCAGGTTAAGAGCTGGACATTTGGGTGTAACTTTATGTATACATAATGTGTGCAGATATAAATGCACATCGATGGTGACAACAATATTGCTGTAACCGTGTCAATGGAAGAAATAGGAAAGCTTTTAGTAAATAAAAAATGTCATAACAACCGGTATCGTAGGCAGTATCTCTCTCTCTCTCTCTCTCTCTCTCTCTCTCTCTCTCTCTCTCTCTCTCTCTCTCTCTCTTTCTCTCTGTCTGTCTGTCTGTCTGTCTGTCTGTCTGTCTGTCTGTCTGTCTGTCTGTCTGTCTATCCATCTGTGTGTCTATATCTATCTGTCTGTCTGTGTGTGTCTGTCTATCTATCTGTCTTTCTGTCTGTCTGTTTCTCCTCCCCCCCCCTCTCTATCTCTTTCTCTCTCTCTGTCTGTCTGTCTGTCTGTCTGTCTGTCTGTCTGTCTGTCTGTCTGTCTGTCTGTCTACCCATCTGTGTGTCTATATCTATATGTCTGTCTGTGTGTGTCTGTCTATCTATCTGTCTTTCTGTCTGTCTGTTTCTCCCCCCCCCCCTGTATCTCTTTCTCTCTCTCTCTTTCTCTCTCTCACTCCCCCCCCCCTCTCTCTCTCTCTCTCTCTCTCTCTCTCTTTTGTTCCTCTCTATTTAAGTATCCTTTTTACACACACACGTACAAACGCATACACACATACGCATACACATACACACACACACACACACACACACACACACACATACACACGCATACACTAGACATACACACGCACACACACACACGCGCGCACGCACGCACACACACACACACACACGTACACACATACAAACATACGCACACATACGCATACACATACACATACACACGCATACACTAGACATACACACGCATACACACACACACGCACGCACGCACACATGCTCACACGCGCTCACACGTAAACACAACACAAACACACAGAACAACAACATCTTCCACCTCAGAAATGAGTGTGGCATCCAGCTACTGTGGAGGTAAGTGGAAGTGAGCACTGATAGAGTCACCAAGGGGACAGCGACTCCGCGGGGCTGGGAGGCACCACACAGCTCTTCCTCGTAACTTCTCGCAGTTTTCTTGTTCACTCCCTGGAGGAGATAAGTCAGATTGGCCCTAGTTTTGTTTTGTTACACTTTTATATCCTTTTATGAAATATGTCACTTTGAAGAGTGGGGTGGTGGGGTGGGCAGGGGGTGTTTTGAAGGGAGGGT